TTCTACATTATTTCCCCCTTTTGGGGGAAAGAAATTACAGCCTGGTATTTTTCTAAGAAATCTCGGCCCGGTCCATGAACAGGGCAGAGGAACTAAGGAGGAAGGGGTGCGTCTCTCTCCAGGGCCTAAACAAAAGGGAACAGGTTCAGAGACAGGAATCTGTTGAGGCCCCGCTGCTGGAGCCGCTCTAGTGCCCCACGGCCAGGGCTGCTTCCCTTGCCAGAGCTGAAAGTTGGGGTGTTAGCATTGCTGTTTAGGTGACTCCTCCAGGGTGTGAGCATGCTGGCTTGCCAGGTCAGCCAAATCGGAGAGGACAGATTCCAGGCCATTCAGGTCTCCATTCTGTCCTAGTCCTTTTAACTAAAAGGTTAAGACCCAGGTTTTAGCCTGTTTAATAGAGTGAAATGCTACTGGGCTGGATTCAGCGTCTAAAGAGACCAAGGTTTTCTTTGAAAATAACCTGAAGTCAGTTGTAATAGTCATGAACAGGTGCATCGGGCTTTGTACTGAAACCTGAATTTTATTCCGATCAATAGGCTTAGGAGAAGCAACTGTAATTGCTCCCTGGAGGTTTCCAGCGAGTGTTCTAGCATCTTGCCGAAAGTTAGGAGTCTGTTTCTCCTAATCCCTTTCAGGATAGGAAGTTCCCATCAGGCTGGTTTCAGCCAATACTTGGCCTGGCCGTCAGCGACAAGCATGTGGGTTAACTAATTAATATGAATCTGAGGGAACCTGTCTACAATGCTGGTGGGAATGTAAATTAGTTCAACCATTGTGGAAAGCAGTATGGAGGTTCCTCAAAAAACTAAAAGTAGAAAGAAATACCATTTGACCCAGGAATTCCACTCCTAGGAATTTACCCTAAGAATGCAGCAGCCCAGTTTCAAAAAGACATATGCACCCCTATGTTTATTGCAGCACTATTTACAATAGCCAAGAAATGGAAGCAACCTAAGTGTCCATAAGTGGATGAATGGATAAAGAAGAGGTGGTACATATACACAATGGAATATTATTCAGCCATAAGAAGAAAACAAATTCTACCATTTCCAACAACATGGATGGAGCTAGAGGGTATTATCCTCAGTGAAATAGCCAGGTGGATAAAGAGAAGTACCCAATGATTTCACTCCTATGTGGAGTATAAGAACAAAGAAAGAAACTGAAGGAACAAAACAGCAGCAGACTCAACCCAAGAATGGACTAACAGTTACCAAAGGGAAAGGGGCTGGGGAGGATAGGTGCGAAGGGAGGGATAAGGGGGAATAAGGGGCATTACAATTAGGAAACACAATGTAGGGGGGGCATGGGGAGGGCTGTACAACACAGAGAAGACAAGTAGTGATTCTATAGCATATTACTACACTGATACACAGTGACTGTAATGGGGTATGTGGGGGGTAGTTGGTGATGGGGGGAGTCTAGTAACCATAATGTTGCTCATGTAACTGTAGATTAATGATACCAAAATTTAAAAAAAATCCTCAAGAAAAAATATATGAATCTGAGAAACCAGGTTGGTAAGCTTGAAAAGCTGTGTTAAGCTCAGCAAACCTATGGGTTCCTCAGTCACTCTAGGGAACTGTGACAATGGCTCAAATTTCAGCCTTAGTCCAGGGAACATGAGAAACTTGGCATTTATTGGGATCCTCAGAAGACTTAACTCTACAAGACAGGTTCTAGCCGACCAGGAGAGGAGGGAGCAGAGGAGGTGGGGACAGTGCAGAGGCAGTAAGGAAACTGTCGCTGGAGGCGGACCCTGAGCCCGAGGGGGCTGCCCCATGTCTGGGGACAAAGAAGGTGGGGGAGGGGAAGAAGAGGCCTCCCAGGCCATTTGGGCCTCTTTCAATTGTTGATTTGTGTAGTTAGTCCAGAAATTGTACCTCGCAGAGAGGCAGTTTTAGATTCCTGGTAATATTTAAAAGCTTCAAGATACCAATTGTGGGTAAAATTGTAATATTTCCAGAATATCTCACCTGGCTTTAGTACAGCAGCATATCTACAGGCGTTAAGAGGTGGAAAGAAGTATGGCTTTAGTTATTTGCATCATTCCTCAGGGGTGGAGAGAAGTTCATCTCCCTATCAGTGGGTAATTACTTGGGCAACAGAGGGCTGATCTGTACCTCTCAGGTGGGGGAGGGGGGCTGGTTTTGCTTCTGCTGGAGCAGGAGAGAGAAACGGCCCAGTCTGCAGTTTGTAAGCAATAAACAGATTTTAAACTTTATTTCTCCCTTTGACTGATTTGGTTTTAGAGGTATTTTTGCCCCCTGGATTTCCTCTCCCCAGACTGACATCAGTTAACATAGGTGCCCTGTTCAGTTTTGACTATTTTAGAGCCATGCTGTTGAATTCAGGTTTGGAGGACGCGGTGTAAGGTTGAAGGCACTGGGGGGAGGAGTGAGCACGTCGCACACTGATGACGTGCCAATGTCCCCGGCTGCCGCCCCTCCCAACCTGAAAAATGTGCCTTAGGCAGGCCAAGCCTCGCCCCACTGTACATCTAAGCTCCCCCTCCCCCTACCTTCTTTAAAAACTTGCTGTCTGCCCTGCTGGGCGCGACTTCCCAGCCTCCATTTCTGTAGATAGACTGAGAAACCTCGCCCGGGAACTGCATTCAAGTAAACTGCCGGCCCTTTGTTGCCTCTCTTCGCCTGCTTATTTCAGTTAGAATTTATCTTACACTAGGTTAGGGAGACCAAAAGTTCCCCATATTTAATAGCCATTGGTGCCCTGAATCAGTTTTAGTTATGTTGGCCCATTTAGTTAGAAGTGTGCATGAGGAGGGCTCATGGCTTTTAAACACAAAACTAGCTGTGGCCCCGGAAATGCTTTGGGGGGCCCCTCTAAGTACTTCAATGAATGGGATCCTGTTCCTGAGCGGTTTTCCTGTGGAGCAATAAGGACTATTCCTAAGCAGCACAGCTCCACAGTCCGGTTCCAGAAAGGAATTGGACCAAAGGCCAAACAAGTAGTGTCAGAAAGAACAAGGCCTTAAAGCAGGTCCCAAATACAGCCTGGGGAGCTCAAAAGGCAAAGACGGCGGAACTCAAAATCCAGGAGAGAACTGACCCTCCTGCTCCGGGGTCGGCAGGGAAGCAGCGAGCTCTCGGCTGTGGGCACCTCACCTGTGTGCTCACAAGCCCCAGAGCTCTTTGGGGTATTTTCTGGGTCCCACTTCTGACACCAGGTAACGTTTCCCTTAAAACTGTTACCCATTTTGCCAGCAAAATGGGCTTGTTCAGGAACAGCAGAGAATTTCGGAACAAGCAAGCAATGGCAAAACCCTAGGCAGGTCCAGCAAAGGAGAGGGATGTTATTTAATGGAAAAGAAGGAGGAAGTTGGGAGGGAGTGTTACGAAGGAAGTCCACCGGAGAAAGGCAAGAACCCAGGGTGGTGATGGCTCCTCACTGGTAGAGGTAGTCAGTCCCTTGCAGGGGATGCCGTGTGCATCTTGCCCTGTTGGGGCTGTAATCGGTGAGTGTTCGTTTCTGTTGGGGTTTATAAATGAGATTTTTCCTGTAACTGAAGTGGCAGGGTTGGGCTCCCTCCTCTGGCCTCTGGACTCCAGTTTGGTGAGGTTTCCCTTTATTTGTTTATTTTTTTCACAAAGCCTAGTTCTAGCACCGGTTGCTCAGCAAACTCTTTGCTCCCTGGCATCGCCTTGGCTCCTTTGTCAAAGGTGAGGGAGTGTTTCTGTGGCGGCCCTTCTCCTGGCCCGTCTGCTGTCCCGCCGACCTGTTTCTCGGCAGCACCGCCATTGGGGGCTGTCCCTCCAGCTCTGCTCTCCTTCGGCACTGTGCTGGCTCTCCCGGGTCTTCTGACTCCCTGTAGACGTTAGAGTCAGTTTGTCACTGTCTGTTCTCTGCACGTTCTCAGAACTTCTCTCTTTGTCTTTGGGATTTTGGACTTTACTGTGGTGTGTCTGTATGTGGATGTTTATTCTGCTTTAAATTTGTAAGGTTTTCCGCATCTGTGTTTTTGTATCTTTTATCATTGCTGGAACTGTCCATCATCCGTTTAGACACTGACCCACCCCACCCCACCGCTGGAACGCAGATTAGACACGCCAGTAGATGCTCTCACCCTCTTGCCTGCAGGTGCTGGCCGCCCCTCTGCATGTTCCATTCTGAGAAATTCCCTTTGATCTATTTCCAGTTTATCAGTATTCTACTCTGCTGTGCAGAGTAAAAGCCCTTCCACCAGTTTTTGTTTTCATTACTCTACTTTTTATTACTGAGTGTTCTGTTTGGTTATGTTTGGTTTTTCAAATCTGCTACATTATTTTTTATACCTCCAATACACATTTCTAGACTGTCTCATTTTTCCTTAAACATAAATAGAGCTTTAACCTTATCTGATAACATCTGAAGCCTTTCTGTAGTCGGCTTCGTTTACCCATTGTTTCTACGGGGTCTCTCTGGGTTCATCCTGCGAAGTAAATCCCATTAGCCGTGAAGGTGCGTCTCTGCCAAATGCTTCTTCCTTGGGCTGCCTCCTCTCACGCTGAATCAGGGGTGGTGGGGTGCAGGAGCACCGTGCCTTCTCTGCGCTTTGGCCCGCCAGGAGGAGCAGTGGCAAATGCTGTTTCTTATGCCTCCAGCCAGTGGATTGAAGCTGATCTGAATGTCTTCCAGTCACTGTCACTTCAGCTCAAATCAGGGATCCGTGTCACACCACCTTATAGGCCAGATGCCTACAGCATGCCTTCTGTGTAAACTTTCGAGTTATTTCCTTAGCACTTGGGTGTCTCTGGTGACCACCCAGGGTGCAGGGGCCATGTGGTCTCCAGGATGTGCCTCCAAGTTTTGGTGGTATATGAAGCAAAACTGACAAAATGTGCACAGTTGCTGGAGCCCGGCTCATTGTCTACCTTGAGGCTCATCATACTACCCTCGGTTACAGTGAAAGCCTGAAAATGTCTCCAGGTGCTCTTGCCTTTTCCTTTTAAAGTGTGCTGTGAGATCTTCCTTGGGCCCATTTTTTGTTTGTGTTGCCCCAGGCCGACGTGATGGAGGGCCGGGTGCCCTGCTGCCCGGTCTGCACTGGCATTGTGAAGCCGGACATCGTGTTCTTCGGGGAGCTGCTACCCCAGAGGTTCATGCTGCATGTCGTTGATTTCCCCATGGCAGATCTGCTGCTCATCCTTGGGACTTCCCTGGAGGTTCGTCAGCAGACCTGGTGGCGCACAGAGTGTGTGGGGAGGAGGCTGGCGGCCGGGGCAGCGGAGGTGGGGGCTGGTGGGGTGGGCCCCAGGTGCTCAGGAGGTGAGTTGAAGGTGAGGGTGCCAGCTAAGGAGACACTGCCGGTGTCCCACGGACCATGTGTGACAGGTGAGGAGAAGCCAGCAGTGATGGGCGTGAAGGACAGCAGTCAGATGTTCTGACCCTCTGGTGCCAATTCATGAACGAACGGGGACAGCATTTCCTCCATGCAGTGCCTTCCCCTGCTCCATTATTTAAGAACTGTCCTTTTAAAATCCTTAATCTATTTGAATTTTTTTCGGTGATGGCAGGAATTGAGCGTTTTCCTCCCAGATAAAGGGCCAGTCTCAATAGCATGTAGTAATCTCCATTTTTTACCTTATTACTCAAGTGAAAATTTCATTTGGGAGCTGGATGAAGAAGCCCAAAGGCGCCGAGTGAGGCCTCTCAGGAGGTCTAGATGGTGAAGGCTGTGGAGGTGGGACAACCACCTTGTCTGTGGGCACGTCAGGACCCTCGGTGTGGGACCAGGTCCTTGGCAGACAGACGGGCGGTGTTGTGTGAAGCTGGTGTGCTGGCACAAGATGGGGTGGGGGGAGGGCAGCTCAGACTGTGCGTCCTTGCTGGAGCTGAGCCCGCATGAGTCTGGGCGGGGGACCCGCAGAGTCAGGTGTGGGGAGCAGAAAGGTGGACGTGGATGGAGGGTGGAAGTGAGGCGTCGGGACCAGACAGCTGCAGCACGACTGGAAGAGGGGGGCTGTGGGTCCTCCCTGTGTCTATCTCACCAGTCCGTGCCGTCCCCCCAAGGCCCTTAGGGGCTTGGGGTTGGGCACCATGTCCTCACGTTTGGGCCGTTTTCCAGGTGGAGCCCTTTGCCAGCTTGTCTGAGGCTGTGGGAAGCTCGGTGCCCCGACTGCTCATCAACCGGGACCTGGTGGGGCCCTTGGCTTGGCGTCCTCGCCGTAGGGACGTGGTTGAGCTGGGGGATGTGGTGTGCAGCGTGGAAAAGCTGGTGGAGCTTCTGGGCTGGACGGAGGAGATCCAGGGGCTCATGCGGCGGGAATAAGGGAAGGTAAAGAGGCCATCTGGGGGGCTGCCCCCTCACCGCTGCGGCGTCTGGACCCCATGTCAAACTATTTGGCTAGAGCAGTAGTAGCTGATCCTGGCAGGCAGTCCTGCGCCAGGTGCTGCCCGGCCTCTCTGGAGTTTTGAATCGGGTCTTGTGATTCTAACCACCTGTTTGGAGGTGGAGAACCTGGCACCAAGTGGACAGGGATGGGGAGAGGATGGCAGGTCCAGGCCACCTGGAGTTTGCACCCCATCACGTCAGTTGCAAGGCTAACTAAGGATAAGAGGCTTCACACCTCTGATAAGAGGTATCCAACTTCATTCACTGTTACGTCCACCCTTTCATCTCCCTGTGGCCCCTATGGCTCATATATAGGCTGGTGCCATTTCCCATCTCATTATATGCAGGGAAATGAGGCCCTGTGAATGTCACAGTGACTTTGCTGGGTCACTTTATGGAAGCAGCAAATCTGGCTAATGCTGAAGCTTGCACTGTACACGTGAGAGGCAGCAGGTGTTTGCCCACAGGGCAGCCGCCCGGCAGCTGTCCGGGGCCCCTGCAGCCTCTCTACTTGGTACTTCCATACAACAGCAAGACTAAGTCGAGTGGCCCCTGTGGATTTTTGGAAGTACTTCTGTGGGATTTTACCTGTGCTATTTTCTGGTTTCACAGACATTTATGTAAAGTGGGGTGTCATTTTTATTTATTTAAATTTTGTTTTAGAGTTGCTCTTCAAGAATAAACATCGGATGAATTCTAGTCTTGAGTTACTTTTCCAAGCAGTGACAGTTCTCGAGCATGTGAGCTTCAGCACATCTCAGGTGGCTACTTAAACCAAAGAGCCAAAAGGCACCCCATTTAGCTACCCAGCTTTGTAAGCCCAGTTGGCATCGTCTTCACTCAGCTCAACAGCAATATACGTAGAGAGAAAAGTGTCCCTTTTAGGAGAGTTGGAGTCCCGACGCTGAGATCTGCAGGCCCGCCCAGGTGTGCTTTTCGGTAACTGATTGCTCTTCTCCCCTGTGTTCCAGCTCAATGGATGAGCAAGAGGGTGATGGCTGCCCCCGCACCGGAAATGGTTTCATGGCGGGGTCACTGCCCATTTCTGGTGCGATCGTATGCCTGGACAGCCTGGGCAGCTTTATAAACTTCGGGAGAACCACATGTGCCCCGAGGAATGGAGCTTGAGGTTGCCACGGGACGTCTGCCCTGTTTCGAGCTCTGCGCTGATGGATGGTTGAGTTTATGCTGAGCCACACTAGCCACCAAGGAGCTGCCTGGCCTACCTTTATGCTGTTTAGTATCAGTCTGCTGAAGCTGTTCGTGCCAAAAGCTGCCCTCTGGGGTGACCCTTTTGAACTCAGACTGGCTGGAATCCCAGATTGGTTCCACTCTTACTATGTCCAGACCTCCAGCTGAAGGGCAGGCTCAGCATTTCTGCCTGTTAGACCGTCATGGACCACACAGCCTGTCACATTCTACAGTGTGGTCCTGGGTCCCAAGAAATGCACTAGGGTCTTCTAGCATGTTGATCTCCGTGGTAGAGTTGTTTCTAATTACAGAAAGTTTGCCCTTCATTTCTGGCATGAAATACACTTTAAAGATTGAGCATTGCTTTATTTTTGTCTCAGAGGCGGTGAGTGTTGACTGTGAATGTGGAGATGACTTTGGGGGGTGTGTGGTGGTTTCCCCTCTACTGAGACAGTCTGAGAACTGAGAACACTCACCCCTGGATTCACCCTGGAGGGCCTAGCACTCTTCCAGTTGACAGCCCTCAGCACCCAGCCGGTCACCACGCCCTGGTCCTTCTACCCTGATGCCCACATCAGCCTCCCCACAGCAGTTCATGTTCAGACCATTGCAGGTGGTTAAAAAGCCACGTCCTCGTGTCTCCTAGCTATAGAACTAGCGTCTAAATGTGAACGGCATTGCTCTGAAACTGGCTGGCTCCTGCGCACCTGCTGAGCTCTCCAACCTGTGCTCAGGCCACGGTGCAGTCTGGGCAGGACTTGCCTTGAGCTTCCTGCTCCTGTACTGGGATTGCCCCAAAGCCCTGGGCATACCTGGTCCCCAGCTGCCCCCACCCCCGCCGTGTGCACCCTCCTTCCTAGCGTCCTGTTTCCCCCCAGGACCCTTCCACGAGCCCATCTAGAGCTGATTTGACTGACAGACTCCCCAAAAGGGGGGTCTGGTGGTCTCATTTCACAGAACAAAAGATATTAGTGGTGATCTAGGAGAAGCATTGAATTTTGGAAAGAATGAGATTAACATTTCTACTGGTTCCTTTACTTGGTATTTTACACTTTCTCACATGTATACATTCTTGCCTGAAACTATATTTCAGGGTATGTTCCCGTGACACTTGTGGCATGTGGTAGAAGTGCAGAATTACCGGTTTACGGGGGCATTTTCCTCCATGTTCTAAGCCAGTGGGGAGGCATCGAGATTTGATGTCACAACCAGTGAGAACTCAGGTGCAGTGGACGCCGCAGCAGGTGGCTGAGCCAGGACTGAGAATGTAGAAGAGGCCACCAGTCTGTAGCTCAGTGGGGACAGAAATAGCACAGCACACCTTGGAAGTGTTTCTGACATTCACACATAAAGTTGCTAGCAGGTTCTTTTCCCCTGTGAAATGCAGTGCTTGCCCGACACACCAGCTCGGGGCCAGCAAGCCATGCATGTGCTCAGCCCCTGCCCTCCCACAAGTTCATTAGTATGTGCGGTTAAATCCTGCGCTCAGGCAGCAGCCTCTGCACACATCCAAGAAACCACTTCATTTGCAGAAACCAAGGCTGAATTCCCAGAGTTCCAGCAGGACAAGACCCCTGCAGTCCCAGAGATAAGTAACTGGACCAGAGGTAAATCATGACAAGAACTTTACAAGTAAGAGGGGTCTTTAAGCTGGACATGGCTTCCCCAGGACACAGTCCCAAGGACATCTGCCAGCAGCACCGGTTCTGAAGGGGAGCAGATGGGGGTCCGTCTTCAGTCGGGGTCGGAGTCTGGGTCTGAGGACAGCTGCCCTGCCATGGTCTCACACATGGCGTCCTGCAGGGATGTGAGCTGACCCCGGGGACTCATGCCCATGGGCTGGATGACTCTGTGCCTATGGAAGAAAGGCACGGTGGGGTCTGGGAACCAGCCCTGCTCTGACCTGTCCCACCAAGCTGCTCTGTTGGCCGAAGCCTGGGTGCAGACTTGTGTCAATCAGGCCTGGATCCTCCCTGCTACCCAGTGGTTTTGAGACCTTAGACAGTCTCCTGATTTCTCTGAGTCTCAGTTTACATCATCTGTGGAATGGACACAACACTGACCTAACCCTAACCCTAACCCTTCCCTGGGGGATTTCCCCCAGGGCAGGAAATACCTGACTTTAGTAATGCAGCCTTGCCAGGATCCTAAGCCCAGCTCGGACCCCACCCGCTGGAGCTCACAGTTAGGATGCGGGCCCATTCTCCCTTCTCTGTGCCAGACACGTACCTGGAGAGCTTGTCAAACATGCTCACCAGCTTCAAGGCTTCGTGCTCCTTCTGCTCCTCCGTCATGCCCTCCATGGGGTTGGGCGGCTTTTCCTCCACCCTCCCAGTCACAGGGTTGATGCTGCTTCCCAGAAAGGGGGTGGGGGAATGCATTAGAGGTTCTCCAGGACAGGAGGGGCTGTGTGGGGTGGGTCAGATCCCAGGGCCTCCTGCCTGGGCCTAGACTGGCAAGAAACCCATTTTCCTGGGGATGGGGGAGGCAAGGCAACTTATAAGACTCCCCCTTTCAGGAGCGACAGCTGCCCAGCTGGTGCCCCAGGCTGCCTGGGCCCCTGCAGCCTCTGTGTTCTCTGCAAAACATGCTGAAGTCAGGAGAGCGTCACTCAGGCGCAGGCATCTGATCCAGGAAGGTTCAGGCATCTGTCAACCCGTCCCACCCACCTCACGGGAGCAGGGATACAGACTGAGGAGGCTGAGTGCTGGGGTGCCCACCTGGCCTTGGCTTCCTTGTACTCATCCGTGTCTGTGTCCTCGTCTTCTGAGTACTGGCCCTCTGGCCGGCCCCCCACCACGAGGCCCCTGGCAGCCAGCAGGCCCGCGGCGTTCCCGTAGCCTGTGTACTTGATGAACCGGGGCACTGAGGGGCAAGGCGCAGGTCAGCATGCAGGCGGGGCTGGGAGGCCACAGGCGGGGCCGGCCCTCCCTGTGCACTCACCACTCTCGGAGCACAGGACGAACAAGAACTCGGCTGCCACTCGCTTCACGTCGGTGTCCAAGTGCGTCATGAGGCGGACAAGCTTGTTCCGCAACAGCTCCCCGACTTCAGGCCGCGTCCTCACATCCCGTAGTGGGGGTAGCACCTGGGGGGCAGCCGTCCCTCAGCCTGGGCCTGAAGCGGCCAGGGTCTGCGCCTGGGACTGGCCCCATCCCCTCTGTCCCTACCTGGGCCTTCAGGAACTTCCTGGCAGGGCGGTGCATGCGGGCGCACTCGGTCAGCACGCTCAGCACGGGGGCCACGCTCTCCTTCAGCCTGTGCGTCTGCAGAAGAGCCTGTGTCACCAGGGCTGTGCCCCCACGGGACTTGAGATGGGTGCTACATGTGCACCAGGGGGTCCTGGAAGGAGGTGCGTGGGCAGAGGCCCCACTGCTGTTCCTCAGCTGAGGGGTCAAGTGCAGGCAATGGGGAGTCTGCGGGAGCTTCAGGAGGGACAGGGACGGAACCTAATGCAGGAGGCCACTACCTGTGACTTTGGGAAAACCATTTCTCTGCACTGAGTCTGACCTCCTCACCCATAAGCCAGTGTGTAGCTGTCAGCACACGGGCATACAAGCTGCCCTTAGAAAACGGTGGCCAAAAAACAAAATCCCTGTGCTGTAGCCTCATGGACAGAGAGCAGGGAACTCCTGTCCCCACTTGGGCCTCTTCCCAGTTACCTCTCTGGACCCCAATACCACCAGCAGTGATAGGATAGTCATGGGTATCCATTGCCAGGTGTGTGTGACGCAGCTCAGGGTGACGCAGATCCCCAGGGAGCCACCTGCCCTTTAGCCACCTGTTGGATCCTGGATCCCAGAGGAGCTGGTAGGAGCCCCTGGCCAGCGAGCAGCAGGATGCAGAGTGCCTGTGGCTCAAGGTTCCTGGATCCCATCAGAGATGTGGAAGGACAGCTGGCCCGTCTAAGGCACCTGTGCACAGCAACACTAAGAGTCCAGGGTCATAAACAGGGACAGGGGGCTTCTCAGGACCACTCAAGAGGGACCCACAAAGAGCTTCACAAGTACTTTGCTAGACTGAAAACCTGTTTCCTTGTGACCAGAACAACAGAGAGCTTCGAGTGTGTGGGGGAGGACCGCGTGCTGCTCAGGGAGGAGGGGCCTGGCCAGACCACAGAGCAGCCAAGGATCGCCGGCCTCACCCTGCTGGGCCGATCTCTACTTACCAGTGCATATGGTGTAAAGCAGTGACCCCTGCTGCTCAGGAAAGCCTGGGCCGGAGCCACCGGGGAGCCCACCCAGCAGGGCTCCCTGCCCACCTGTTGCAGACGCTTCTCCAGGAAGCTGAGGAGAACACGAATCACATCCATGTTCGCTCCCAGGAACTCCAGGGAGCCTTCGAGTGGCTCCAGCGTGAGGAGGACGTCCAGACACTTGAGGGGCAGATTCCCCAGGAGGTTCACCGCATGCCTGAAAGACGGAGAGGGGGGCTTCTAAGTCCTGCTGGGGCCACACGTGACGTGAGCCAGTGTCTGGGGTCTGAGGAGCAGCACGAAGGGCCAGAGCTGAGAGGGGACTGATCTTGGGGGTATCCCGCTCAGAGTGGGGCACTCTCTGCAGACACCCCACCTGCTGTCCTCTGTCTGGGCTGAAGCACCACAGACGACATATGGAGAACCAGGACCTGCTGAGGCACAGGTTGCAGAGAACGGGTGAGTGGCCACGCTGTCCACTGCTCTTGCCCGAGGCCCAGTACACGTTCCCATCCCAACTCATAGCTCTCATGTAGCCATGTATTGTAAGCGCTGAGGCCCCTAGGAAACACACTGATGTCTGGTCCCACCCACAGGGTGAAGAGTCTCAGGGCAAAGCCTGGTGCATCGGCAGGGCTGGGCAGGGCTGGGCAGGTCTTGACATGCGAGCCAGGGACCCCCTCGCAACAGGCTCCCTCACCCATGGAACTCCTCCGTGCGGTCTCCGGCAGCAGTGACCATCACACAGTGCCGCAGAAGGGTTCCCAGGTGCCGGTAAAGGGCAGTGTCTTCCTGACCAAAGAAAGGAAGGTTCCTGTGAGGGAGCCCTGCCCGTCGCAGCTGCCAGCTGAGGTCCTACTGCCTGCCCCACGCCAGGATTACCCACACTGACTGCGCAGCAACTCCACTCCTCCTTGCTGATGTGGCCTTCAGCGTGATCCCCTGGGGGAGGACCCCCTGGACTGCCACAGCTCCCAGAGCACCACACAGCTCTCCCCTTCCAGGCGCAAGAGCCAGATAGGACCTCCACCTCCCTCAGAAACCTTCCTGAGGTCCCTGGCCACAACAGGCATCTGTTCCTTTGCCTCCTTCTGTCCTCCCTGCATGTGACACCCAGGAAGTCCAAGGCACCTGCAGGCCCAGACGTCCAAGCAGTCAAGCCCTGCCCGCAGGCTCCAGCCAGCCTCACCTCGTCCACATCCCTGGTGACGGAGTCAAAGGTGATGTTGAAGAGCACCTTCAGGATCTCCATGGCCCGCTCGGTCTCCTGGGGAGGGAGGCGCTCGGGAGGGCTCTCTTCTGGGGCTGCCCCCAGCGTCAGCTCCAGCGTCTTGGTCAGCAGGAGCACGCCCTGCAGCTCAGCAAATAGCTGCTGGCGCACGTCTGCGCGAAGGGCCGTCAGCAAGAAGAGCAGGCGCAGGTCGAAGAACTGGATGTCGTGCGGGAAGCAGCTCTGGCGATACGGCCCCACGCGCTCCGCCAGCCTCACCACCAGGCGGGCCTCCGCCGCCAGCACCTGTGCAGCCGGGCTGCTGAGCACAAGGTTGCACAGGCACTTGAGGGACTCGAGCACAACGTCTGCGTCCAAGGGCTCAGGATCCGACTCTGAAGCAGCGATGCCAGCATAGCAGGCAAGCGCCTGCAGGCTCTGGCGGCCGGTGAACGGGTCCAGGCAGCTGCGGTCCCTGGACAGGATGCGGATGCTCTGCAGCCAAGTGACGCGGCGCGAGGGGGGCAAGCCCTGCTCCAGGACCGAGACCAGGAGCTTCGCCAGCCTCTGTGCACAGGGAGGAGAGCGGCTCCACCAGATCTCTCTGCTGGCCCCGCTCCCGGCCCCCTGCCCTCAGCGAGCACCCACCTTCCTGTCCTCCTGCTGGGTGGCATCAAACGCAAAGCTCTGGGAGTTCTGCAGAGATCAGAGGCGCAGGGGGCTCCGCTTTCCGCGGGAAGGTCCCGGCCCCATGGACGGGACCCCACGGGAGCCGACGGCCCCGCGCTCCCACCCCGCCCCGCGGACACCGAGCCCTCCCCGCCCTGCCACGCCCCCGCCCCACCGCCCCTCGTCCCGCCCCGCCGCGGCCGCGCGCGCCGCACCCAGCCCCGCCGCCTCCCTGAGCCACAGCTCCTCACCTCCCGGTTGTACGTGCGCAGGGCGTCCATAATCACGTCCTCCTCCCCCGTCTCCACAGCCTCCGCAACTGCCCGGGGCTCCATGGCGCCCCTGGGAAAGGCGGAGGTAAGGTGGGAGCAGCTAGCCCCGAGGCTCGAGCTAGAGTCCGCGCGCCCCTCCCAGCCTCCTCGCGGGGCAGGCCGGGACGCGGACTGGGTTGCGCGCGGGGCAGGCCGGGACGCGCGTGCGCGGGGGCCGTGAGCGGCGTCTTCTTAAGGCGGAGCGCCTTAAGGTGGCAAGACCCTAAACAGCCGCCTGGAGATTAAAGGCTTTGCCATCCACTTAGCCTGCGCCTCAAAGATGTCACTCGGTAGTGGTCCAGCCTTTGGTTCTCTCCGTCGAACCGAACAGTGACCCCAGCTTCCTGGGCTGGAATTCCCGTCAGCCCCGTTCCTAGGACAAGCACACCGAAGCCGCTCTTGATGCACAAAACTAAAGGGACGTCCTGGGGGAAAGTAATCTGCAGCCCCGGAACGCTTTATTTGCTGAACTGGGATTTGAGTACCTACAGCATGCGAGGCACTGAGATGCGAATGAACAGGACCCACAGGTCCCTGCCTTCGTGAAGCTTTCCATTGGTGGAAACAGACAGGCAAACCGAGAAATAAGACTTTAGGCAGTCATAGTGTCGTAATTGAAAAAGAAAAGGAGCCTGGTGGGCTGGCAAAGGGATCCAAGGAAATGCCTTTTTTTCCCCTGAGACTGGCGGGTAGGTAATGAGCCACAAAAGGATCTGGGGGAAGGTCATTCTAGTCAGAAGCAACGGTCAGTGCTAAGGTGGAAATGGCTGTGGCGGGAGGGCGAAACAGACATCATTGTTGGGGCTGACGGGAGAAAGGGGAGAGGACGTCAGGATGAAGGCAAGGCCTTATCACGTGCGGCGACTTCCTAGCTGTATCCTACACTCGCCTGGACTGTTTCCCTTCTTGAAAAGCAGAAATAACAAAAGTTCTATTTCAGTGTGTTGTCAGGAAGCGCAAATGACACAGCAAATACTCCAGTAGAGCGGGTAGTAGGTACAGTCCACCCAATCCGCAGCAGGCCTTACTCGAGCGTCTACCCTACGCCAGGCCCTCAGTGCCAGGGTAAAGGCAAGAGGCACTGGCTCCTACCGGCCACACTCCCACCCCAGCATCTGCAGGGCTCGCTTGTCCCAGGCCCTGTACTAGACACTGATTCACTTTGTCCTGCCCACAGGAACAGGGGCCGGGTTCGCACCGAGTCCGCGCCTTAACAGCCGGTAGAGGCGGCTCCTCGTCGCGCCCCGGCACCGCCTCTCTGCTGGGAAAAGGCCTGCGAGCTCCTCTTAGGCCCCGCCGTCGCCTTTGGCGGGAATGGCGGACCACGGTGACCGTCAGCACCACGGTTGGCGTGAATAACGCTAACCATCAAGCGGCTCCTAGAGCAGATGCCTCGCCGGTCCCGAGTTAAGCGTTGGAACGTACGTCACTTCCGTTCCCATGGCGTCACCCCAGCAGCCCTCGCGACCAGGGCCTCAGCCGGAAGCTGACCACCCCGGGACGGAAGGGCGGTGCCGGAAGCCCTTTGCCACAACTGCGCCACGTCCGACGAGGTGGTGGATGTGCCGCTGACGGTCTCCGTTATTGTGGCAGGCACGATGGCGGACTGGGCTCGGGGTGAGCGCGGGGAAACGAAACCGGATGGCTATGGGGCCGGCTGTGGCCGACGCCACCGTCCTCAGGAGCCGCCCTGCCTCTCTGGGAGCCCTGGGCGGTAGATCAGCCGTGCCGTGCGGGGGTCGTCAGGGCCCAGCGGGGGCTCCCGTCCGGCTGCTCTGCGAAGCGGTCTGCAATGCCCGCAGTTGTTTCTCCGTCCGTTCCCCTCGAGGTCGTCAGCCCCGGGCCACCCGGTCGACAGGGCCCCGGGGACTAGCCCTTGCGCTTGGCGGCTGCGGCCCCCCAGCTGTCCTCCACTGCCCGGAGCGTCGTGCATTTGCTCTCTGGGAGCTCTTTTCGTCTGCCCGATGGGATGCCGGTGCTCGCCTCGCAGGGCTGTTGTGGCCGTTAAGGAATGAACAAATTGGAAGTGGTTGGTGGGACCCTGACATTCCTTTCTTTGGATCTATACACGTCAATGCGTCCTTGGGCTGCGCCCCATGGGCCCCGTTGAGGCGTCTGGCCTGCGGCAAACTTGCAGTCCTAATTTGGGGGAGGCGGTTCTCACCCTCGTGGTGTGACGAGTCCGGATCACCCGGCCCAGCCCTAGCGCTAGGCCATATCTCAGCAAGCATTAGGCTCTGGGCCCTGGGTGAGCGGCCATAGGCCCCGCCCTCGGAGTCGACCTCAGCCCCGATTTTGCGTGTTTGGGAGCTTTGATCAGCTTTTTCCTCCGTGGTTAATTTGTCACTTCTCAAGGACCAGTGTACAAGTCGTCCCTGAAAGGGCCTTCCTTCTGCTACTCTTCACCCCCTGGTGTTCGTCTTGCGTCTTCCTATGTCCATACTGGAATTTACAGGGGTTTTTTTTGAGAGCAGGTCATGTATACACTGATGGCGACATCCTCAAAGCAAAAGAGTACAGGTTCTGTCACAGTATGAGAAAGTGCTGGTTAGACTAAATCAAACCCTTTGGGTGTGTGCGTGTTTGAGGGAGCCTGCCTGTCCTGGCGTGGACGTGTACGCATACATTGTCGTTCATGCAGTCTGTCAGGTGTATCAGGGCTGAGGTGTGTCCAGGCCCCCAGATGTCTGACTGGGCCAGGTGGGATGGACTGAGAACCCTGAGGCCACAAATGCCTGACAGGCAGAGCTGAAAGGCAGTACTTGTGGATGGATGCACCCCACCAGTGTCTTTCTTTTCATAGCTCAGAGCCCTGGCACTGTGGAGGAGATTCTAGACCGGGAGAACAAGCGGATGGCCGACAGCCTGGCCTCCAAGGTCACCAGGCTCAAATCGGTTAGTGGTGGGCCCCCTTTTACCTCCAACTGGTGCCCTGGAATGTGGATCAGAAGGAGGGTGGAGGCCCAGAAGGGTTTCAGGTAGTTCCCATCCTCCTTGTCCCATCCGTGGCAGTGCTTACCTGTGTGGGGCCTGAGTGATACCTGGATCTCCTGACCTTTGCTGATGGCACTGTGTGGCAGAGTGGGCAGGGTCTTCTGGTCTTGGGGGGATGTCTAGGGTGTCTGCCCTGGCCTGACCCTGCCCCTTCTGTGTCCTGACCAGCTGGCCCTGGACATCGATAGAGACACGGAGGACCAAAATCGGTACCTGGATGGCATGGTAAGGGCCTGCATCGTGCGCGAGTGTCATCAGCTCTGCCCTGTACCACCTGCAGTGTGGGCCCCAGCATACCCCGCAGCACCCACACGTGGGCCATGGAAGCACCGCTCCCATGTAACCAAGTCGGATTGCTCCCTCAGGACTCGGACTTCACAAGCATGACAGGCCTGCTCACGGGGAGCATGAAGCGCTTTTCCACAATGGCACAGTCTGGGCGAGACAACCGGAAGCTTCTGTGCAGTATGGCCATGGGCTTGATTGTGGCCTTCTTCATCCTCTCCTACCTCCTATCGAGGGCAAGGACATGAGCCAGTGGGAGCTGGCTTCTGTGGATGCCCAGGAAAACCAGGGCCTTCCCTTGCCTGGTGTCCTGGACTCCAGAGGACCTACCAGCGAAATATGTCTTTGAAATGATGTTTGTGGCTTAGGAATCTTCTTCCTGTGTGGCTGGGAGCCCACATTTGTCTGACCCGACAAACTCATGTTGGCTGTTGCCATGGGTGCAAGGGGCTCTTTCTCTTGGGGAAACCAAGGTCCAGCCCCCTTTACCACCCTGGTGCCAGAGATGCTGGCAGAGCCAGGTCTGAGCAGAGTAGCTGGGAATGCTGATGGGGCCACCTGAGGCCAACAGCCCTTCTCCTGCCCTTGGGGCTCTGACATCTCAAGCCTCCTCTGCCTCATTCTTGTTTGCATGAGGACATGTCTGGTGCCTGAAGTACTTGGAGCTGACGCAGGATGGGGTATGGCCATGAATCTCAAATCAGTGCCATTTTCTCCAACCCAGAGTCCTCGACCCAGAGATGGGGGCTACTCTTGGCCAGGGCTGTGGAGTGCGGGCGGGCCAGTGCTCAGGGTCTCTGCTAGGTCTCTGTGCCTGCCTTGCAGCCCCCCAGTGAAGCCACACCCTCGGGGAAGGGGAGGGCCTGTGGATGGAGGAGTGTACTGGGGCTCTGGCTGGAGACACCCGGCCTGCACTTCAGACCTCACAGCCACGTATCTGGGAGCAGAAACACTAGGGCTCAGTGTCTACCCAGCACCATAGATGTATTTCTGGGAGATGTCCAGAAAGGCTCATCTGGCATTTCAGAGTCAGGCAGGGTGTGGGGGGCCTTTTTGGGTTAAGATAGGAGGCTTTTTCACAAAGGATTCTTTTCATAGGATCCATAGGTCATTGCCTGAGGGTCACTGGTCAGTTCTCCCTCCACCAAGGCTGCTGCCACGTGCGCTTCACCTTGCTATGAGGGAGCTCGGAGCCCCCACTGACCCCGGCCTCCGCACACTGCTGTTCCCGCCTACCTCTCCCTGGGCCTTCATGGCCCACTTGGCTGGCCTGCTCACAGGAACCGAACTGCACACCCAGCTGGACCAGCGGCTTCTTGTCACCCTACAGTGAGAGCCTGTCTGCACCTGAAAGCACTGGCTGGCTGCTGTGTGTCCCTCTCAGGCCTCGCTCCCATCTTCTGCCTTCCACTGGGAACTAGCAGCTCACTGCCCACCGACACGCTCTCACCGCAAGCACCACACATGAGCCACGGCTCCCACAGCCCGCCCGGCCCTGGTCGTGGCCCTGTTCCCCCTCCTGGCCCTCCCTCCTCTCCTTGTCCGCACACCCTGCTCTTCCCTCCGCTCACGGGCTCCCCTCACACCGGCCGGCACCTCAGCCTTCTGGAGGCAGGGGATCCAGCTCTACAGCACGGCAGTGAAGCGCACCTGCGTGCACCTGGGGCTTTGCCATTTCCGCCTCATCCTTGACTCTCCTTGGCAGGTCCCGTGGTCCTGCTCACAGCCACGTCCCTGTGCTCCAGCTGTGGCCCAGCTGTCTGCTCAACTTGTATTAAGCCTCACCACACGCCTGTCCATGGTCACCAGACCCCATAGCAACTGCCTGGGTGGTGTCTCCATCTGGCAGCCATAGGCACCACAGACACCTGAACCCGAGCTCTGTGTCCCCCACCTTGTCCTGGGCCCGTGCCAACCTCAGTTTCTGAGAGCCTGGCTCAGCCGTGCCAGCACGCCACACCTGAGGATGCCGCTGTGCCGTGCCCCTCCTGCTGATGCAGTCGGCAGGGTAGGTCTGAGCCTCGGGGGGCCTTGAGAACCGCGTCCCCTACCGCAGGCCTCGGGGGGCTCTGTGCTCTCCACCTCCGCAGCTCTCTGCAGCCCTTCCAGCTCTTCTGCGGTCTGGGCTTGGGTGCCTTTTTGACTTGCTCTTCTGCTTCTCATTCTTGCGTATTAGGATGAACTCAGTGAAGGGGGCGTGAGGGGTCCCGCAGGGCCTGCACCCTCTTGCTCAGCCCTGTACATTCAGCACCTGATCCTGGGTTACTGATGTTGATGCTCGAGGCCAATAAAACAAAAGGGCCTTGGCTCAGCCTGTGCCACACGAGGATGGCCACCAGGCTCTACCCATCATTGTGGACAGGACACTGACAATTACAGTGGAATAAACAGCTCTGTGATGATGCAAACACAGTGTTTGGCATCCTCATTTGGGGGTTTAATAGAGTTTTGTCTGGAACTGACCCTGACCCACAGACTGGCTGTGGGCACTGTTGGTAGACCCCACTTCCTTCCCTGTCTGGTTTTTCCGGGTCCCTACACAGCTCACGCGTCCCTGCTGGTACGGACTACCAAGGCTCACTACTTCTGCTCAACTTTCTCCCCAGGTTCCTGTAACTCAAATGGGGATGATGATAGCGTTGCTTCAACAATTAAATGATAAGCAGGTGCTCAGCATGACACGGTCACAGCTGAGGCAGTCCCACGGGGTAACAGGGCCACCTGCCCCGGAGTCCTCGCAACCTCCCGGGGGCTGAGGTGGAATCCAGACCCCACTCCTCAGGCCTGGCCTCGGACGCCAGGGTGGCCTCTGAAAGTGCCCCTCAGGCCCTGCTCACCACCCTTCCCTGCCTGTGTCCTGCTGTGCTGCCCATGTTGGCTCTGATGCGTAACATCACCTAGAACTCACGTTGCCATTGCCTGTGTCTGCTCTGGCGTGTCAGGGCCTCGGCTGGGAGATGGGAGGCTGGGCTGCCATTACCTGAGGCTCCCTCGGGTCTGCAGGTCAGTGTTGCAGTGAGCTTGGGGCCCCGCTGGGCTGGATGCCACACATGGCTTCACTGTGTGGCCTCCTCGCAGCGTGGTGCCTGGAGAAGGTGAGCAGGGTGGGGGTCGTGCGGCCGAAGCTGTTTCCGTGGTGTGTTGTGCCCTCTCCTTGGAAGTCACTTTATTCAGGGCAGTTCCAGGGTCTGACCCAGATGTGAGGGAGGGACAAGACCCCATCTCTCCACGGGGAGCGTCAGTCAAGCGGGGGGAAGACCGTGTGGGAGGGGATGGATGCACGTACGACCGTGGGGAGTGTACAGCAATGTGGAGGGCAGGCGGGCAGGGTGTCTGGTGCCCTCTCCACTCAGAGCCCAGTCCTGGAAGCCAGGATAGGACCCAACATGGCTGGCACTGATGGCCCAGGGGCCTCCTTTCTGGAAAACCTTGCTCTTCTCCCAAGACAAACCCATTGCTAATAGAATCTTGTTTATTAAATATCTGGGCAGAGCAGGAAACAATAACAAATGGGAAAGTGGCACAGAAAAAATAGCTGCTCATGATTGTCCAAATATGCATGCTGCCCTGCGGGGCCAGGCGGTTGCAGCCCACCTGGTAGAAGAGGCCTCCTGAGCCCGTGGCCGAGGAGTCTGTTGTGGGAACGCGGTGGGCAGAGGCTCTGGGTGACGGGGTGGGGTGGGGGCCAGGGCTAGTCCACATCCACAACCAGGGGTGTCATGTAGTCAGAATGCTTGATGCCGAAGGTGACAATGGGGGCGCAGTACTTGGTCACTGTCACCTAGGAGAGGAGAGGCTGTGGGAGGAGCCACCCTGCCCCCACCCACAGGCCTTGCCCTTCTGGGCTGATGGTGGCATTGTTGTCCCTCCTGAGTCTCAGCCTGAGCGGACCAGCCAAAGGCCATGCTGCCAGGTTGGAGCAAAGAGCCGGTAGCAGTGAGCACTCAGTGTTGGCTGTCACTGCTGCCTGGGGACATGGAGCCTGTCCTCTGGGGAGAAGGACTGGGTGCTGGAGGCGCACAGCACTCTGGGGGGTGCGTGGCCTCCGTGCCCCTTGCAGGCTCCCAGTGGCCCCCTGCCCCATCCCCTCTGGGCTGTCACTCCCACCTCCCCCCGAACCCCCACCCCCGTGGGCTGGGCACTTCTCAGACCTTCTCAGGACTGTGGGCTCCTGGTCCTGGCTTGAGGGTCTTATCCCCTGGGGTTTCCACCCGGGCCGCCATGGTGTACTGTGGAGCCTTGAACTTAGTCACCCGCATGTCAGTCTGGTGGTAGGCGGCAGGACCTGGAGTCTGGGAGGCAAGAGAGGCTCTGATAGGCTCGGCTTCACAGGGCACATGACCCCAGAGGGCAGGGGGTCAACGGTGGACAGTGGGTTGCAGGCCCTGGGTCACTGTGTGTCTGTGTGTCAGGGCCGCTTCTACTACCCTTCTCCCAACAGTAGTCACAGTGTGAGGACATCCCCAGTGCTGTGGGGCCCCATCTCAACGATATCACCCCTCAGCTTTGGCCTCATCGTGGCAGTGACACCAGTGTGTGCCACCCCCAGGCTTGCCCTCTCTGTGTGTGAGAGGCTCCATCCCGGCTGGGACGCTGCCCTGTGGGACTTGGGGACCATGGGCTGTGCTGTGCTGGTGAGGCCTGCTGTGCTGTGAAGCCGCCTCGCCAGGCTTCCCGGGTGCCTCAGGCTCCTGGGCACACATTCACTGCAGGGTCTTTGACCCCGGGTGCTGTGCTCGCCTTCCCTGCTCGACCCTCCCCAGCACTGGAATGCGACCTGTGGAGACGCAGGTGGTGCCAGGCACCGAGGACAGAGGGTGGAGGGGCGTCACAGGAGTGAGGCCAGGCTGGCGGCTCCTGGGCCCTGGGGGAAGGGCCGGGTGGACCATCTCCTGGGGGAGAGGCGGCCTTCTGCCCCAGCTGGGGGGGGGGCCCTTGCCTTGTGCAGGTCGTCGCTGAAGCTGCCCAGCTTGCTGCGGCCTTTGATGGAGAAGGAGGGCTGCGTGACCTTGCCAACCGTGTGGGGCCCCATCACCACGGGCAGCATGTAGGCTCCAGGACCTGTGTGATGCACGGGCACTGAGCTTCAGGCTGAACCATAGTCCTCACACGGGATCTCTGCTGCTTCCTTCCCTGGGGCTTGCTGCCTCCAGCCGGCAGGCTGCCCTGCCTCACCACCCCCACCCGGGGCCCAACTGCGTCAGCTGGGGGCTGTCGGGACTGCCCAGGACCTGGGGTGCTGTCCACTCGGAAGGTCTTGGTCCGGGCAGAAATGGAGTGGCTGGGAGCCGAATCGAATATGTGCTTGGTAGACTTCTCTGGAAAGTAGTCACCTGGGGGAGGAGGGAGCAGAGGGGGTGCCAGGAGGGGACGGGCCACGCAGGTGGGTGCCTGGCCTGGCTCCGAGGCTCGAGGAGCCCCTGACGTCCCAGGCACGGGGCCTCTGAGCCCAACATGATGGCGACCAGCACTGGTCGGGGGTGTCAGGGCAGAAGCCCTGGTACAGAGGCGGGAGACAGGCCACCTGAGGAGGGAGGGAGGGTCTGACGTGGACTTGGAGTTGGGACTTGGCCAAGCGGCCCAGGTCTGAGCCAGGATTGGGGGTCTTAGAGGCTGCACAGGGTCAGCGACTGCCCCGCCCAGGCCTGATGTCCCCTTATGTGGGGAATATGGAACAGGTGGGGGGTGCCTCCCCAGGGTGTGCAGGGCCAGCAGCTGTGCTGTGAGGTGCTGCAGCCGGGCCAGGGTCACTCACTGGGGCCAGGGGTCAGCATGATCTTCGTGTAGTAGCGCCCCAGGATGGAGTAGGCAGGGCCAAGGTCCTTGCCAGTCCTCAGTACCTTGGGGTTCACGCTGTGGCGGGGCCCCGGGGAGCAGTTATCTGCCAGGAGCATGGGGGCCCCACGGAAGCTGTAGGCTGGTGCGCGCAGCTTGGTGGGCGTGTGCTTCACAAAGCCTGTGGGGCAGCGGCTCTGAGCGGCCTGGAGCAGACCCTGCCCTTCCTCCCAGCCGACTGGCCCCAGAAGGGTCGATGGGCTTGGAGTCAGGGATGAACCCCAGGCCTCCCCGGGCCCACCGCACTCCTGGCTCCCGCCTCTCACCCCACCCTTCCCAGGCCCCCAGGGGCTTACCTGTGGTGGGTGGAATCAGGTACTTGGGCCCAGGGCTGCTGTAGAGGGCCACGATAGGCCCCCGGGGCCGGTGGGGCCTCCAGGTGCCCACCCACACCTCCTCGGCCATGGCCGGCCCTGTCCGCGGATGGGAGGGTGACCAGGTGCTGGAGGCACCCCCCGATCCTTCCTCCTACTGATGGTAGAACTGCGGCCACAGCCGCCCTGGTGGGGTCTCAGGCCGGGGCCTGGGCCGAGGCAGTGGGTTGCCTGTCCCTGTCCCTGACCAGCCCCCAAGGGGAGGGGCATCAGGCCCCTGTGGACAAGCCCTCCCTGACCACCCCTCACTGGCTCACTGGCAGGTTCCTCCTCCCCAGGAAACCCTGGTGCAACTGGGCCAGCACAGTGGGCACAGGTGGGGAACACCCTGGGTGAGGCTGTGCGTGGGGTGGGGGCCTTTACCTCTCCAGTCCAGGAGTGGCACTCAGAGCAATCTATGGACCCAGCCTCCTCAGAGGTGGTCCCGTCACGCCAGCCTCGCTGCCAGGGAGTTTGCGAAAAAGGAGCATGGAGAGGAGGGCCTCTCCTCTGTTCTCCCCGCTGGGGGCTGAGAACTGGGAGGGGTCCTGGCCCCCGAGCTCTAGAATGTGGCTCTGCGAGAGGTGGGTTCTAGATCACTGTCTGTATGATGACACAATGACCTCTGCTCAAAGGATCCCCCTCCCTAGGCATGGCTCAGGCTCAGGACTTGGCTTTTCATTGTGGAGGGTGGGCAGAGGCCCCAAGGGCAGCAAAGAGGAGGGTGAGGTCCCAGGCAGGGACAGCATGGCAGTGGGACCAAGAGCCGGTGTGGCCAAGGAGCAGTGTGTGAGGGCAGAGCTGACCCTGTTTAGCCCTGCCGCTGGCAGGGACGTCTGAACTGAGGAGACAGGCATGGGGGCCCTGGGGTGCAGGCTGAGGTGGGGTCTGCACTGGCTGCAGGGGGTGGGGGGCAGTCAGCGTGGGGAGCAGCTGCTCTCCCGTGGGGCTCTCCTCAGACTCTGCCCTCCGTCGGGCACCCTGGGTGTCCCTGTGAGCAGGTGCACCTTTTCTGCTCTTAAGGAGTTCCTGCTTGGGTCTGTGCCCCTTCCAGTCAGACTGTTTCCTTGGGTGACTTGGGGAGAAAGATTGCTCTCAGCCCCGGACCCGAGCCACTGTGTCTGTGGTGTGTGCTTGTGTGTGTGTGCACGCACCCAGCCCGACCACCTCCTCTTTCTGGGGCTCTTTCCCCTCCCTGCTCTGAGTCCCTGATGCTGCCTCCCACCGCTGCCTCTGCAGGCCTCCCTGCATCCTCCCGTCTGCCTGTCTTGTTCTGTCCACCTTGGATGGGTTGGCGGGCCTGCCCTTTGTGTGGAGTCACATATACGTGTGTGCTCTGAGCATGCGACCCCACATGTGTGAGTCTGCAAGTGTGTAGTTGTGTCCCTGAGTGTGGAAAGAGACAAGCCAGAGCCTGAGCTGCAGGAAGCTTTATTGATTGAGCAGCTTGAGGGCAAATTCATACCCGGGGAAGGGGTAATGAGGTGGTGTGGCCTTGGCTGCTTATGTAGCTGGTTCTGTGGCGGCTGGAGCCACATCTGGGGTCCACTAGGCGCCATCCTGACTGCCCAGCACTTGCACCTGAAAGACAGACTCGTGTGGGCCAAGAGGGCTGGGGGGCCCATGCCTGGTGGTCAGTAACTAGAGAGGCATCATTGCATCATGTAAGCAGACCAGGGCTGCTGCCGGGGGAATGGTGGACTCTGGCATTGCTGGCCTGTCCCCTCCTAGCAGCTGGGGTCGTAGTGTGAGAGCACATGTGGATCCGTGCGTGCAGCTGTGTTTGCATGTTCACACCTGCATATGCATGTTTGTGTGTGCAGGAGAGACTGAGTCGCTTGTGGACAGCAAGGGCTGGGCTGTCCACCTCTGCTGGCTGAGACAGATAGGGGTGTCTCTGGGATGGTGGGCTATGGGAGCTTCCTTGAGCAAGCAACCAGGGGCCATGGCATTTGGTGGGGGGTCTGGGGAGCAGGGCTGTGGGTCCTGCTATGGCTGCAGGCCTTTAGGGAATGGGTGTCCCCACCCCCCAGCCACAGTACCAGCAGCTTGACCAGCTCTGCCTTGTGCATGGGCTGCAGGCTGTCTATGCAGGACTTGAGCTCATTCATCGCTGCTTTGGCATCAGCATTAACGTCATAGTTGCTCAGGGGCCCCTCATAGAGCTCCTCCGGGGACCCCACCAGCAGCGTTTGCAGGAAGTCCATGAAAAGCTCAGTGTTGTCCTCCCCTGTGGCCAGCCCTGCGTCATGGGGTTGAGATGACACTGGGACGGGAGAACTCCCTTCCAACCCCGGAACCTCAGTGGTCTCCAGATTCCCCCGTCACTGCCCCTTCACATGCCCAGGTGTGCCCCATGGCCGTCCCTCCTCTCCAGCCCCAAATCTTCCTTCATAACACCCCCAGCTCTACCTGCCTTTAGACCCCCCCCCATCACCCCTAACACTGCTGCCTTTGTCCACTCTGGGCCCCCTGGCGTCACTGGGGAAGGAAAGTCAAGCCCTTGACGCGGCAGGAATTTCCCCTCCATGTGAGTTTGGCTGACCTGGGACTTGGAGGTTTGGGTTCAGGCCGGGCTAGTGGCACTGGGCTTGGTGGTGACACTGGCCTGGAGCAGAGCTTGGAGCCGGGCTGGGGTTGGGGTCAGTTGGGATTGGTCTGTGGTTAGGGTGGGGACTAGGGTCAGCAGGGACCCCGGGACCACGGCTCACATCTGTGTCGTGATGGAGGAGGGTCGGGCCTCGGGGAAGGGAACACCCGTCACTGTGAGGGGCCCGGTGCCTGGAGTTCAGCTTCTCACCCCCACCGCCCCCCGCGAATGTGCACAGACTCACCACAGGTGCAGAGCAGGGTGAGGGCCAACAGAAGGGCGCCGCTCCCCTTCATGGCCGACATCGGAGGTCCCTCGGGAGCTGCGGCGGCCGGCTTTATGCCTCCCAGGTGGCACGGGGCCCGGGGGCGGGCCCAGATGGCCGCACAGTACTTTGGCAGCGAGCACAGGTGGGGATGCCAAGGGCGCGTCCTCACGCCCCACCTGGGGGTGCCATGTAGCAGTGGGCTTGGGGTGCTGTGTGAGGGGTGGTTGGCAAATGGTTTGGGGTGAGGGGGATGTGAGCCTGGTCGGTGAGGAAGGTTGGGGGGATGGGACATGGAGGGCCTCTGGCCACACCCGCCTGGAACTGGGAATGCAGGCTCGTGGGCTGGCACTGGCTCTGAGCCCTGCGACTCAGCCTTAGATCTCTGCTGGGCAGGGGTTGGGAGCTTCCTGGGACCTTGAGAGGTGGGGGGCGAGGATGGGCCCAGGACTCCGTGGGGCCTGAAATGGGCAGAGCGTCCCAGTGGGAGAGGGCTGAGAGGGACCAGGATGAGCAGCTGGCCACACTGGGGCCTGGCGGGACGTGAGGAGGGGCTGCAGTCTGGGACACATCTGCGTATGGCCACCCCAGGGAGGTCTAGGGTCTGGGGGAGACATGTTTTAACGGAGGGAGGGTGGGAGACTCAGGCCTCCAACCTGACCACCCTCAGAGCCGCTGTTCAGGGGTGATGGAGTCCTGGCACTTTCACCGTGTGGCCTGGCCCCCGTCCTCCTGTCCCTTTGCTGCCACCTGGTGGCTGATGGTGTCCGGCGGGACCGGCCTTCTCACCCGCAGGACCCTTGGGAGGAACCAGGGGTTCAGCCCCTCACCCGCCCTTGGGCGCTCCTCATTCAGCGCCAGCTTGCACTCCCCCAGGCCCCCAGGTCGACCTGTCTGGGCTCCGTACCATGGCGTCCCTTGTCACCCTGTCCTTCATTTGCCTCCCTTTGGCCCCGACTCTGCCACAGACCCTATGTCCTAGTCTGGCGCCCTTGCAAACACACAGAGCTTCTCCGCAAGCGCCTGTGCACAGCAGGTACCCTGCAATCCCTGGTGCTAGCATGAGGTGAAGTTCGTAATGATATACATAAAAGGCACTAGCGCACGACCCCAGAAGCTTAGGACAAGTGACATGCAGTCAGGTCATTAGTAACAAAACAGTACGGCTGTGCGGCCAGACAACACTCAGCACAAACCTGATCCCGTTTGCAAAGGCCCAGGGTGCCAGCTCTCCAGCCGGGCTGCCCCACCTTGGGTAGATTCATAACCTTCTTCCTTTTTTTAAATTTTGGTTTCATTAATATACAATTACATGAGCAACATTATGGTTACTAGACTCCCCCCATTATCAAGTCCCCCCATACCCCATTAGTCACTGCCCATCAGTATAGTAAGATGCTACAGAGTCACTATTTTCTCTGTGTTATACTGCCTTCCCCCATGTTATGTGTGCTGATCGTAACGCCCCTTTATCCCTTTATCCCTCCCTTCCGACCCCTCCTCCCCAGCCCCTTTCCCTTAGGTAACTGCTAGTCCCTTCTTGGAGTCTGTGAGTCTGCTGCTGTTTTGTTCCTTCAGTTTTTCCTTTGTTCTTATACTCCACAGGTGAGTGAAATCATTTGGCACTTGTCTTTCTCTGCCTGGCTTATTTCACTGAGCATAATACCCTCTAGCTCCATCCATGTTGTTGCAAATGGTAGGACTTGTTTCTTTCTTATGGCTGAATAATATCCCATTGTGTATATGTACCACATTGTCTTTTATCTACTCATCTACTGATGGACACTTAGTTTGCTTCCATTTCTTGGCTATTGTAAATAGCTCTGCGATAAACATAGGGGTGCATCTGTCTTTTTCAGACTGGGCTCCTGCATTCTTAGGGTAAATTCCTAGGAGTGGAATTCCTGGGTCAAATGGTATTTCTATTTATAGTTTATTGAGGAACCTCCATACTGCTTTCCACAATGGTTGAACTAATTTACATTCCCACCAGCAGTGTAGGAGGGTTCCCCTTTCTCCACATCCTCGCCAACATTTGTTGTTGTTTGTCTTTTGGATGGTGGCCATCCTTACTGGTGTGAGGTGATACCTCATTGTGGTTTTAATTTGCATTTCTCTGATGACAAACGATGTG